TCGAGGAAATGAAGCGTAATTTGCGTTAGTCATTGATGTTGTGATATTGACGAGTGTTTAATAGCGTGTGATTAGACGGTTGGATGTATGTTTGTATGCAGGAAATGTGGGATTTGGAAAATTGACATTTTTATCAATTTTTGTAGTTTTATATCTTAGAAAGCTTTTTTCACGTTTTCGGTAACTTTTGTGTATTGGAAGTGTACGATGAAGTTGTGAAACTAATTAATTCGATGTGGAAAAATATTAATATATTAAAGAGAAATATTGAGTAGAGTCGGTATAAGAAATTCATATTTAAGATTTGAATGAAACTTTAAATTTATCAACTTTGCATTGGAAAATTAGCAATAACATCTTTTGTTGTTAATCTTATTAATATTTCTATCCACTTATGTGAAAAGTAAAAACATTGCCATTTGTCTTGAGAGTTTCATAACAGATGCAGTGGATAGTCATAATTATTTAAAAAAACAAACTCTACGCTTATTGCATAAAGTAACGTCGTATTTGTTGTCCCTGATTAATAAATTCTTACATTCGTTATTATCATGTTTTTGCAATAGGTTTCTTTCAAAATATCAATTGCACGTGGTTCAATTCCTTATTTGCTTAACTACCAGTCATTTATCTAGTTGTTTGTTTCCTTCAATTGCATCGAAGAGAGGAGACTCGTGTAGTGTTTGCGAAAGCGTGTGAGAAATGAAGAAACTTTTCCATTTAAAAGGTTACGATTTATTAATTAGTTCTCTTTACAAGTATTTAGTTCTTCGTCTGTTATATATCGCTTATAATTGCAAACATTATAATAATAGGTTCTTGCTGAGAAGAATTTTTTTTTCTATGAAAAGTAATTCCATTTATACATTATTATTTATAAAAAGGTGTATTTATATTTTGCTAGACCATACGAGCACTCAAATTTATTTATAAATTATTTACATTTTTGCAATAAGGTAGACATTTTTATATATAGCAGGTATTAACAATCTTAATTACTTTTCCTAGTCCGTATGAAAACTCAGAGACAGATATTTAATTTAATTTATAAATTATTTCTTGAAAGTTAAATACCCATTTATCTATATTTTCCAAGTCTCACTTTATTTATTTATTCTTACACTATTGCGTTACATTGTACCACCGAGTTTCTTAATAATAGTTAAAAATCCTCATTTTTCTTCTCAGAATGTAAAATTACAATCAACCACGATTCTTCACGGTGTTTCTAAGGTTAATTCGACAAATTAAAAAAAAAATTTGATATACAGGGTGTCTGTTTTATCTCAATACAGCAAAATATCTTTTAAGGAAGTGATGTTAGGAAAAAAATTTTTAACAAAAGTTGTTTGGTATGGAGGAGGACGTTATGTGGTGTAAATATTTTTTTTGTACCTGGTATGATGGGGGAGATTTCGAAGTCAGTTTAATATTTTTAAATGGAATGCTATATTTCCTTATACATAATATGATAGTGTATGTTAAGACGAGTCCAACGAGGTGCGGACAAAGTCATTTCCTTTCATAAAACAGACACACGCGACAGTGAGGTACGCATGGTGGTCCGGCTCCCGGTTTTTCGCAATTTTACTACCCTCCACGAAAGGAAATGACTCAGACGCAGTATCCACTCGCGAGAGATACTCTCGAGAGCAATTCGCGATAGTTTCATTCTGAAAAGGAGAGTGTAACGATTTGAATTTAAAAGGGGCGCGTCTTTTTACCGTGATCGGCGTGCGTCCGCCGAGCGGCGTTGGGAGTGGCGACCGCGCATGCGTCGTGCGAAAAAAAGTATGGCGTATTGTATTGTATTAAGACCACGCGCGTGACGTTTGTTCTCGGTTTTGCCAATAAAAGTAATATAAAATCAGAAAATTCTTTTACCGCTAACTCTTTTCTGTGCGCGAACAGACAGCTAGCTTTATGTTTGGCTCGATGTACGTACAACGACCCAGGCTCGCGTTTCTTATGTTTGGCACGCAAGAAATATCACGAGTTCTAAGAAGTTAAGGCCTAGAATTTTTCCTAGAACAGTTGCGAGCGTACAGCGATCAGAAATCGGGCAGGACGACTCGTACTCAGTCGGTGTTTACGAGGCTGTCGAACGAGTGCCTCGACGAACGACGAACGACGAACGTCACTTATACTGCGCGATTACAGTCTTTGGATTTCACAACACCGATTTTTCTTCAACGAAGAGTGATTAAATAGGTAATTTCATTTCTTGACCAATTTCTTTTCCTGACATTTTTGACTCGCACCAGAATTCTCTCAAGAATACGAAACTACTTCGTCTTTGCAAAGCAACTGTTCGACAGTAGTCTGATTACGTATCCCTTCGAGAGCAAGTCTCGACACGTTCACTCTCAGACAGTTGACTTTACTCTCCGACAGTCAAGCTCAGGGGCAGTGTCCACTCGCGAGAGATACTCTCGAGAGCAATCCCTCTCTCTCGCGATAGTTTTACTTTCAAAATGGCACGTAGCTTCGTGTTTAGTTCGATAAAATACAGGCAACGACTCTGGCTCGAGTTTCTTATGTTCGGCTCGAATTTCCTATGTTTTGCTGGAGTTTCTTATGTTTCACTAGCAAAAAACATCGCGAGCCTCGCGCAATGTTGTGCGACGTGAGGTTGAGTAGGCCAAAGTTACATACTTGAGGGTCACTCACACGCCTAGGATTTCTCCTAGAACTGTTTCGTGTAACAGGGAGCAGAAATCGGGCAGTCCTCACGTACGCAGTTAGTGTTTACGGGCCTACCGAACGAATGCGTCGACGAACGACGTTTGTACCGTGCGATCATAGTGTTGTAGAAAATTCAGTGCTCCCTCGAATAAAGCAGTTTCGATTGTGCGTGGATTTCGAATCAATTTACGTACTTAGCATATTCGTTCGTGTGAATTAAGTGCCGCTCCATACAAGAAGCTAGTGCATCGAATTCAAGTACATAACGGACAGCTCAGCTTGGGAGAAAAATCAAACGAGAAGTCTGTCTCTGCGAGCTACACAGCTACAGTTTCACGGTATGTGTATGCGTGAATAATATGTATGTATATATACGTACACAATCGAATGATTGAGTTAATTGAAAATAGAGAAGAGCCTACGTTATATTTCGCTGTAATGAGATAAAACAGACACTCTGTATATAAAAATAAAGAAATCCGTATCTCACTGGATCTGATCAGTTTCACAAATAATTTAAAAAATTCACGCCTTCGAAGAAGAGCGAGAAGACTATTCCACGTCGAAAGGTTGAAAGTACCTTCAAAGAAGCAATTTAAGTTCCGACCAATGGCGGTGCAAGAATTGCTCAATTCAACCCCGCCATCGAGCGATTTTTATTCGCTAGGCGGAACGCATTTCCGGTCTCGCTCGAGCTCGCTCCGCGACTTCCTCTGTCTGCCGGTGTTTCCGGCAGCGGAGAATAGCTCTCCCGGAGGAAATACTAATTTCATCAAAAAGTCGCGTTGAGCGTGGAAGAAAGCCGCGCTCGGCCATGCTTGCTCCGCTCCGCGTAGCCGCGTTAACGTTGGCGTAATTGCGAGGTATAATTGCAGTCCCCTTTGTTTCTTCAATTACGTACGCGGGTTTAAAAGCGAGATACGCAAGAGAAACACGGAGGGGGCCGGCTAGGAATTTTTATGAAATGGCTACTGTCTCCGGCGTCGTCATCTTTTGTCCGTGACTCCTCCTCCCACGCGACTGTCCCTGGAAATCAAGGGTGACTGCGTAGTCCTTCTGACATCCGATGTTCCCTTCAATTCTCGTTTCGAATTTCTATCCTTTTTCACTTTTCAGACGAGTTTTGTCGATTCGACGCTGCCTAATTGGTTTGATATTTTTTTTTGCAAAGAATGTATGGCAATAGGAAAATTCTAAAAAAATGTGGGACTTTGCAGAAATGTAGTTTCAGTGATACTATTTTTTATTTCGGCGATGAAACGTTCCTTGGGGTGAAAGTACACTGTTTAAAAAATTGTCGAGTTTTTGTATTATCGTGAATATTTAAGAAACCGTGCAAGATATGGAAAAAAGTTAAATCCATAATTGTATTTTTTAATGTCCTATATTGCGGTGGTGAAGAATTTTGGGAAGAAAGAGAGTTGGGGGTAAATTTCCGAAAATTTATGTACCTGATAAAATTTTTCCCTTTAATTTTAACATGATATTTGTGTAAAATTAATATCATGTTGAAATTAAGTATTAGTGCAATTATAGTTTCTTAATGTTAAATCTCATAATGTCTCATCCTAAATTTTCGGGTTTTCATCATATTTTAACGTTGCAAAATCAAAAAGAATTAAATTCAGGGAGTCAAATGAAATAATTTTTGTCCAATTCATTCAACTTCTTATTTTTTACTTCGTCAGGGTTAAATCAAAGGTTCCAACCAAGTGTAATTTTTTTTTCCATGCAGATTTGTAAGTCCACTTTACATTTCTGCTATGAATTTTCAACGTCTGTGGCAATTTTTTCATTCGTCAATGCAACGTATCTTTCGTAATGCATCAACGTCAGCGCAGGATTTATCGAGTCCTGCGTGCCCTTTGCGAATTATTATCGCTATCGTAAAATCTCGGCTGAACGTAACGTTCATTGCGTAGGTGCGATGACGAATTACAACTTCCTAATCGCTGTTCAAATCTGCATACTTCGTACTATCAAGCTGGTGTGTGTATCCGTGAAAGCTGGGCTTCAGAAACTGTTTCACAGTGGTTCCATTTGCAATCGTAGGTAGCTAACGTAGAATAAATGTTACAGAACTGACGAATGAAAATCCGAAGGATGTAAATTAATTTCTGAAAAAATCACCTTAACCCTTGTTTTTGTACTTCACATGCAAGCCTGCAGTCGGTCAGTCTATCTTACAATCGGACTGCAAGAATAATAATTTTTCTTATTGTTGTTGCAATGATAAATTAGAAACAATATGCGCAGTTTACGAATGTAACATTGTTCGACTGAAAAAATATAGTTTTGCTAGAAAAAAAAATATTCGCTGCGAACAGGACTCGAACCTGTGCGGGTGTAATACCCAATGGATTTCAAGTCCATCTCCTTAACCGCTCGGACACCGCAGCTCACATTCACTGGCCTTTTACAAGCAGTACTAAAGCCTAACGAAAGATAAATACTTTTTATTCATTATTTTAGGCACGAATAAAATAGATTAGCGTAACTTAGATATTACGAAATTTTATATACGTAATATTAAGTATTTATGCAACGAAAATTTAGAATACAATTGACGATATTAAAAACTTTGCTTTTGAATGAAAAATATTAATATTTCGAACGAATGTATTTTTTAATAACTGTGGTTATTAATATTTACAGTTCGGTGATATTTTATTAATGATTATTTAAGTATTATAATATATGGTAGTATCATACGTAACGTAACTGCAAAAATTTTGGAAAATAATAAATAAACAATTGTTTTCTCTTTAATATACTCAAATTTTTAAATATTTTTCAATTATTTGCATTACATTCCACTTTTAATTATTTAATTTCCACTATCGTGGAAAAATTGAAATGTGATATAGTTGAATATAATTGAATTATCGAATACATGATTAGAGTTACGAACAAAACAAAAAATTCAAACAAAACTCGAACTTCTTTGAAACTCGAATTTAGCAAAAGTTTTCTCTTTTTTTCAGCGTTCTGATATGATTATTTCAAATTCAAATAATTTCCCGCCATTTCGTGTGTCAGTAAAGTAAAAAAAGTACTGAAACTTTTACACACCCCTGGTATCAGTGCAGTTCCTTAAAATTCACACCGAATATCTACTTTGTCGTTCTCATCGCCATTTCGTCGAATCACAAAATTACACGATCGCTGACGTGTTAATTAGGCATCTGATAATAGAGTCCGGCAAGTTTCTTTCACGACGCCACCGGTACTTAGGTAAGAATTTCAATTAGCCGAGGAAACGATCGAACTAAGACAATTACAAGGGAACAGGGTCGCATTTCCGGGTTTTAACGAATGAACTGCAGATTAATTAAACTTACCTCTGTCTCTCTCTCTCTCTCTCTCCTGCTCTCGTTCCTTTTCTCCGGGAGTTCCGAGGAAAGCAGCACATCGCGGCTGCATTAACGATAATTGAGTCATCTCACGGTTATTTAATTACGATCGTTAAGCAGAACGATATCGAGCTTCATACGTGGTCCTCGTCTGCGAATAAGTAAGAAAAAAGAGAAATTGTAAGGCTTATAAACGCTGTCTCTCTCTTATGCCACTTATAAATCAACCTTTCCCAAGGGTGATAAGAAAGGACACTCTGGCACGCCGATACACGGATTAATTAAGCCGTTAATTAAGCAACTACGACGGATAATGTTCCGTGGGATATGACGACGTTTCTCTTTTTAACGTGTCGCGTTTGATGTAATACACGATGTTTCAACGATATCTAACGCTCGACGCTTGTAAGAGAAAGTCGAACCGATGAGAAGCTTGTTTATCGCGCTATACATTGGAAGTTTTCGGCGATTGATCAAAATTGATTTGGGCAGTGGAAGGGTTGCAGGATCGAGCGGTTTGTAAATTTGTTTTTATTGTCAGTTCTTGGATTAGTTTTGTTCCGAATTTGTTTTTGAATCGTGATTAAACGAAATTAATATATTTTCGCATAGGTTTGATATCTTTAAATTTTATTATTGGTGCTGTCGTATTGTACCGCGTTTATAATGTATTCAAATTCGTATCTTCGAATTTTTAGAAAATTTACTTGATACAACATTTAATTGTATCATAGGTTTAATATTTTTTAATTTTATTATTGTCGCCGGTGTATTGCTTGCGATATATTTTGTGCACTTGTAATGTATTCAAATTCTTGGAAAATTTGGTGTATTTTTTTAATGAAGTGTGAAAAGTTTCTATTCTCGAATATTTTCGCACATGACAAAAATTGCAAACTTCTTAGGTAATTGTACACTTTTAAGTTTCTTATACTGTAACAGTGCAATTGACGAATTTTCGTTGAAAACTTCTCTGAATGTTTTTCTTCCACGTAATTTCTCAATTTCTACCAAGAATACGCGACAAAAATTGCAAGCAAGCCGACTCAACAGCAAAGCTAGTTAGTACCAGTACGTCCGAATCAAACGATGTTCCTATATTATATCAAGACCTTCAAAATTACCTCACTAAAGCGACAATAGAATCATGGAATGAAGAGTGGAACAATTCAAGACCGACTAAACTACACACAATCAGGAACAGTATAAACGATGCCAACCCGGCTTGGCTACTGAATAGGAAAGATGAAGTAAAGCTAACAAGAACAAGAATAGGTCACACAAACTGGTCACACTCCCATCTCATCACCAAAAAAGAACCAAGCAACCGTGATATCTGCGGGATACAAAACTCCATCGATCACATCCTGATAACCTGCCCAAAGTACAATATGAAAAGGATCCAACATAACTTGCCGAATTCACTGACCATGCTTCAAAAAGAAGATTCAAGTAAAAGAGCTATAAACTTCTTGAAAGACATTGGTTTATACCACCTACTATAGACTGCACCACTGAATAAACTCACTGTGGTGACTAATAACCTCAGAAGGTGCATGTGACCTTAATCACTCAATAAAAAAAATAAATTGCAAACTTCTTTCATAATCACACACTTTTCAGACTCTCGACGAATTTTCATTCACTCGATCGAACTTGATCCTGTCTATCAGCAATGTTTTCCTTCCACATAACTCTCAACATCTCAATAACTCCATTCACAATGCTCATCCTTCTTAACTTGACGCGTACAAAAATTTTCCTTCGCGCGGTTTCTGCAATTGCACTGTCTACCCACTTGTAACCCTATCAAGCTCATTAATACCATGAGCAGATGCAATAAATTCAAGGATGATGCTACAACGCGCGTGCTGATAAAAGTCACGATCCTATTTCTCGCGTGACTTTTCCTCCTTCGACGCTGGAATAACGCAAAAGGGGAACTTTCCTGTTTTCGGTGGGAAAAACAAGAAGAAAGAAAAAGAAGCTCGTTTTGTTCGTGCAACTGTAGAAACACCGCGTTGGCCAAGCCGCGCGTATTCCCTGGAGAACAGCGGACGAAATATCAAAGGTTTTCGCGGATCATTTTTCATTCCCATAATCGGTCGCCTGATCTCGAGCAGCTCGTGACACTGCACTAGCTGACAGTGACGAATCGACAGTTGTTGAGTCAACCCTTGAGACACTGGCCGCGACCGGTGTCTCTCTGTCCCGCATGTTTCGTGACTAATGAAAACGTAGAGTCGTCCTTTCGAATCCGACGAATCGAACTTCGGCTCGCCCCGGACTTTATTCGCTGTACCGTGAGAAATTTTTGATGATTATCTCTGTGGTCAAGAGTGGAAAGCTTGATCTCTGAATGATCGTGCAACGATTAGCCTTGTGAATGATGATGCGGCTGCGATGCATAATAAGGAACGTGGGGTAAATGTGTGAGTGAAAGTTGCTCGTGTGTTGGGCATTATGCGTTGAGAATTGTTTGGTAAGTTTGAGAAATTATGAAGGCAATTTTTTAGACGATTGTGATAAAAATTCATGCGAGAGAATGAATTTTACTTTTTAACCCTTTCTGTTTAATCCTCGACAGGTATGTCAGCCGCCAGACCCTTAGATTTCCTAGCATGTAATTCTATTGTACATATTTTTCGCCTTCGCTCGTTTCGTAGCAGCGGTAATTTTATGACGCCACAGCAATCCTAGTCTTTCAATCTAAGAACTTGCTTTCACCTTTTATTGTCTCGTTTTTGACTTAGAATCTTCGCCCCTTTTTTCACTTGTACATTTTTGCATTCATATGGTCACCAGAGCCGAAGCGCGTCTTAACGTTATTGTCTGCTACGGTACCTATGATTTTAACCAATAGTTTTCGCCAACCACCCTTCCCCACCACTATCGAAAAATGTACTCAACCTATCCGAGGGCCTCACCCCCGCGATGCGTCCTCGCACGGAGGTGTCGAGGGAACCTTCCGTGGAAGGGAAAGACAGAAGTCATCTGACCACGCCACGAGTCGCTCCTTTAAGAAGTTTAGACCATTAGCAATAGTTGTTTTGTCCTCCTAATCACGGAGGTGGTCCTTGAAAGACGAACCTATTAGATTTAGTCGGCACACCACGTGCTAAATTCGACAAGGCTCGAAAGTTGGTTGCAACTACCACGAGCACATCAGAACACTCTCGTTGTTAAAAAAATAAGTATTGAGAGAGTAAATATTCATTTCCAACCCTTTCATTGCTATCGACGCTTACAGGCGTTTCGAAAATTAGCTCGTATTACACTTTTGAAGCCTTTTAGTCCCTCTTAACTTAATTCTCAGTGTTATCCTTTGCACGCTTCCACCTTAATCCAGTAAACCGAATTTTTAAACGAGTCATTTTGCAGAGTAAATATTACTTTCCAATCGTTTCATTGATATCGACGCTTACAGGCGTTTTGAAAATTAGCTCGTATTACACTTTTGAAGCCTTTTAGTCCCTCTTAACTTAATTCTCAGTTTTATTCTTTGCACGCTTCCATCTTAATCCAGTAAACCGAATTTTCAACGAGTCATTTTGCAGCGAAGAAAATTTGAAAAATTCGCCAATCGGCATACACGCTTCGTATTCAAATTTGCCGCGCTAAATAAGTCTACTGCAGATTCTTAATTGGGAAGCTTATTAGTGAAAATATCAGTTAAATTTTGGCGAGTTGGTAGATTCTGGCTTGTTTATCAATTTGAATAAGTGCTTGAACATTTACAACATAGCAATAATAGTACAGCAGTATTTGCAATACAGTATCTGAGAGGAAAAATACTAAGGTATTGGGAAAATAGGAAACTTGTCACGTTAGTTGGTTAAATTTGTCTCTTTTCGCTAAATTAATACTTCAATTCTGGCGCAATGTTTCCTTTAGTCTCCCTTTCTCTGTTTGCGAAATTACAGTGAAGTTTTTAATGGGGACATTAACATCTGCACGGCTCGTAAAACGTCAGTGACAGTAGATACGCGTCGGGAGTGTTCGAACTCTTACATAAATAATAAACACGCCGTGCTAGTAGTTATTTT